CCAATGAGAAATGTAATTGTGTTGTATACCTACAATGTACCAATAAAAGAATTTAATTAAAAAAAAAGAAATTGAAAGGGAAACAATACTTCCAAATTCATTCCTGGAAGCAAGTGTTGCTTTGATTCCAAAACTAGGCAAGAACTCAACCAAAATAGAGCACTACAGGCCAATCTCCCTAATGAATATACATGCAAAAATCCTGAATAAGATACTGGCAAACAGAATACAGAGGGTCATCAAGAAGATCATACAACCTGACCAATTCAGATTTATCCCAGGGATACAAGAATGGTTCAACATACATGAATCAATAAATGTAATACATGAAATTAACAGAGCCAAGGACAAAAACCATATGATCATCTCAATAGATGCAGAAAAAGCATTCGATAAAATTCAACACCCATTCATGATAAAAACCCTACAGAAATTTGGAATAGAGGGTCTTTATCTCAACTTGATACAGGCTATCTATGAAAAACCAACGGCCAATGTCATACTAAATGGTCAAAAACTGAAAACCTTCATGCTAAAATCAGAAACAAGAGAAGGAGGTCCACTATCACCATTTCTGTTCAATATAGTTTTGGAAACATTAGCCACAGCAATTAGACAAGAGATAGAAATAAAAGGAATAAAGATAGGAAAGGAAGAAGTTAAACTGTTATTATTTGTTGATGATATGATGCTCTACATTGAAGACCCAAAAAACTCCACCAAAAGACTTCAAGACTTAATTGACAGATACAGTAGAGTAGCTGGATATAAGGTAAATACTCAAAAATCAATAGTCTTCTTGTACACAAATAACAGACTCACTGAGAGAGAAATTAGGGAAACAAACCCTTTCACAATAGCATCCAAAAAAATATCTAGGAAACAATCTAACGAAGGAAGCAAAAGACCTCTACATTGAGAACTACAACACTCTGAAAAAAGAGATCGAAGAGGATATCAGAAAATGGAAAGACATCCCTTGTTCCTGGGTAGGAAGAACCAATATAGTGAAAATGGCCATACTTCCAAAACTACTATA